TTTTTTTTTTTTTTTTTTTTTTTTTTTTGTAAGTACTGCAAATTTTCTCAGCAGTTCCTTCGTCCAAGTTTAGAATCCACATGAAGTTCTTCCAATCCTACTTGGGCTCTTTTAGAGATTTGATTGATATTATAATACAAGGATCTTATCAGTTCCTGGTTGTTTGTGGGCCACACTTATTTAAGGCCTTAGAGGGGTCCTTTACTTGTATGAGGCCCCTGCCCTTCAGAAGCAGAAGCTATAGGCTTCCGAGAGCCTGAGCCCGTGCCCAAGCCCCAGCACACAGTATCACCTTTCCCTTCTCATGCACCACTCTCCATTCTCTCGTACCATTGCATGCCCATACTCCCATACATTGAACATTATGATATTCCCTGCTGTATGCCTGCTTCATTTACTTGAATGGATTAACGAGTATCTATTGGAACGTGATTGGTTTGTTACAAATGTAGGCAATGGAGTACCTTGGTAAGAGCCGTGGAATTCAACGTGCAAAAGAGCTAGCAGAAAAACACGCCAATCTGGCTGCAGAAGCTATCGATTCTCTACCTGAGAACGATGACGAAGACGTGAGAAAGTCGAGAAGGGCACTTGTAGATCTCACTCGAAGAGTCATTACAAGAACGAAGTGAGAAATCCAAGTAGTGTACACCACCATAGTTGGAACTATATCTTTTCCATTCATAGGGGCAAATTTCCCTCAAAATTTTTTCCATCAATATTCTTTTAATTTATCAGCTTTTGATTTCAGGAATTCCTCACAAAACATATTTATACCTCTCCCTTTTGTGTAAATTAAAATGTGGAGCATGAACCGACCCAGAATTTTGTTTTGTAATTCTATACTGATGCACCATTTCCAATCATCTCCTGTACCCCTTGTTTTTGTCGTTGAAAACTTCCCACACGTCAGGACTTGTTTTCCATTTCCAGGGGTCTAAAATTACCATCTTAGATTAAGGGTTCACTTTACCTATCAAGGAGGCCGGCGTTTTCTTCTTCGTTTGCTTTGTTTGTTGGTTTTGGAGAACAATGCTGAATCTCGTTACCCCATAGATTCCTTCAACGCCTGTGTTCCTTTTTCGTTTATGAATGAAAGGGTTGTTTCAGCTTGGGACGAGACCTGGGAGGCAGCTACCCTTTCATCAAATTTAAATTTTTTCTAGCTTGTACTGCTTGGTTCAATTCGAGTTCTTGATTCTAGGTTTTAGGGTTTATATTGTTTGGTTCAATATGTTTTAGGAGTTCAATAATCGAATAGTGTTTGTATGATTTCCATTATTCATGGGTAACCACAACCTGCTTGATATATAATCTGAACTTGTTTATGGTAGCTATTATAAATCGATATGAATCTCAGAGAACCAGGATCAGCCTTGTTGCCTCTTTCTTCTACAGGGACCAAAAAGGTTGCCATATTGGCTCTGTTTCCTGTACTGCAACATTCATTAATTTCTCTCCAGTTGAAGAGAACTAAATAAAGAACAAATTATATTTCACCTTCAAAATTTACATACAGATACAGATAGTACACCAAGAGGCGATTGTCCACGGTACTCTCATCTCATACTCTTTCACAATATTCTCATCTCATATTCTTTAATCATCCAAAAGAACGTGTACGAATCTTGCAAGCAAAACGACTTAAATCCATCGAGCCAAACATGGGCATTTCAGCTACTGATTTCGTCGTAGTTATAACTTGCAGTAAACCGACTTTCCAAGGTTCCCTTGTTGTGCATTTGTCAAAAGAATGCATCTTGGGAAATGAAGGCTGTCCATGCTTCCTATGATTGTGACAAAAAATAAGTTCGACTGCATAATTAACCCATCGCAAACTTTTGTTGCAATGTTTTGAAGAAAACCATAACGACCTAGCTTCTTTATTATTATTACTTCCTGTAAAACTAATTTAGTTTGAAACTTGATTCATGTTGGTTTTCCTAAATTGATATAGGTGGTTCAGTGATTACGGAGAAAGAGTTACCTGGAGGACAGTGAAAGCCTTTTCAGCGACATATTTTTGCATGTTTGTTGCTCCTCTCTGCTGCAGCTTGTCTGGATGGAGGCATAGTCTTGCCTTCTGATAAGCTTTCTTCACCTGTGAACCCTCCATAAGGCTTGTAAGTGGAGTTACATGCCAGCCACTCCTGGGCCATAGAATCTGAATCATTTGTAAGAAAAAGTATACTGTCAACTTGCCAACTTTATGTCGTTGCAGGGCTCAAGAATATTGGGGGGTGTGGGGGGCATGATTTCACTTGAGTATTTCTTACGTGATGGAGTGTTGAAAGTAGCAGCCGGATGTTGGTTTCCTTGCCGGATGACCATAACTTTATATCTTCATCTATATCTTCCATTTCCATCTGAAATTTCCACAACATAATTACTTATCAAAATCTTCTCCCTTAGCAATGGGACTGTGCAAGGAAACTGTAAGCAGTAATGCAAACCAAGGGATGTAGATAATTTGAAATCATAAAAGGAACAGAACAACTTCTAGTTAAAGTTCAACCCATAAAGAAAACTGATTCTGGCTTCTTTCGTCTTGGAATTGAATTATTTCAAGGCTATGAACCTTTTCATACCCTAAGCACAAATTCATTTTAGTTTCATTTATATCAGGAGCTTACATCTTTTTCAGACTCTGCCTTTTCCTCTTCAGCTGACCAAATTCTTTCTTCTACCTTTAAATAAAATATAATATACAGGAAACGTCAAAAAGTTGAAATAGTAACCTTATTAGCAAATGAAACAAAAATTGCCCTTCATTTTGTAGGGTAGGGATTCACTCATTGAAAATACAAAAATAGTGAAAACCGGAAGTCATTTAAATTGGTACAATGATTGTTGGAGAATCTAGTCTAGAAAGAATTGTTAATCTTTGAGATTTACGGAAAGGAAATCCAGCACCCAAACCGCTCTCTAGATGATCTCATCAATCTAACACTTCTAGATGCTCTCGACAAATGATTCCTATTGGCATTAGAATGATAAAATCTTGGCTTACCTCTGAAGATCGTGTTATGTCATGAACCCCCAACTGTTCACCAGAAAATTCACATGAAGCAGATCGTCCTGCAAGATATTACCGAAGAAAAAATTAAGCGATGATCTCCGATATAGAACAATCGTTAGTCAAACAAAGAAATGGCTAACGTACCTTCTGTTTCAACAAATTGTTCACTATCATTCAGTCTTGTGCTCAAATCTGTCTCAGAAGTCTGTGTGTTAAACTTTTCTTTTGCCCAAGCAATCACTTCGTTAAGTGCAACTGCTTCGTTTGTCCCCTCTCTATTATCAGAACCAATCTCAATGACATAAGAGCTCATTACTTCGTCCTCTTCTTCTGATAACACATTTACTTGAACATCAGGTTTGGCTTCTGACTCCTGGCACAATGAAGACATTAAAGATGACGGGGAATTAGGTTCTAAATCATCCATTGATACTTTCATGCTCCTGTATGAAGTTGGTTCAAGGCTAATAGTTTCTGGAGATGACATCGGCTGAGGGAACCCACAATAGGAGCTCCTGAAAGGTTCCTTGACCTCATTATCATCGTACTGGTTTTCCATGGAGGCAGAACGGTTGAATGAAAAGAACGACATCCCTTGTTTCTTTTGATGCTCCTCAGGCTTCATCTTTGATGAGCTCCATTTTGTTGGGATATGGATAGGCCTGATGCAACCAAAAACAATGATAGCTAGAAATCAATAGTAGCTTAAAAACATTCAGATAATGTTGCAAAGCTAATAAACTAAAGACTGAAATTGGTTCGAAATTTCAACTTAAGATAGAGATCACAACAAAAGGGTAATAATAAAACAAAAACACCATCTTCCCAAGGTTGATTTTGTTGTTCGTCTCGTTGCTTGTATGTATAAATATTTTGCAGAGAAGTGGAACATCAATATCTAACCCAGATAACAAAAATCTCCCACTACATGCTGAAAATTGGCCCGAGTTTCAGCAGGATAAAGAACCGATCATATATTCTGAACCACAATCAAATGTAAATAATATGCACCTTTTCAGAATCAAGTGTAAATCTCCAGCCTCCAGACAAAATAGCAATCAGTTTCGGAGGAACTTTGAAACACAAGACGACGAACCCTTAAACTTATATTTGTCCACTACCCCATAAACCCGCTAAAAGCAAACCAATACTTGTAGGGGTAAAATCGTCAAATTAATTCAAGTTCGGTAGGAAAACCGATACCGAGTCGCTAGACGCTGCATACCTGAGCTTCGCAGCGAAGGAGGATAACACGACGTCGTCACCGATTACATGCCGGAAAGGGCTCGCCTCCTCGGAGCTCAACACCGACGACGAGTTTGATTTTGACTTCCCCTTCGAGTTCTGCCTCGACCTGTCTCTCGATCGCCGCTCTTGATCGGATCCAAATATATCATTGTAAAACCCCTCGCCTCCCGCCGGAATCCTGAAAACCGGTAAGTTCCGACCGGCATTCTTTGCCGAAGAGAAACATTCCGGAGGTCGGAACATTTCTTCGTAGAAGAAGTCGAACTGCTTGTTTCTAACTTCCCCGGAGAATTGCCGCGATAGGACACTCCGCGGCGGACCGCCAAAGACGTCGGAGAAGTCTTCGTTCTTCATAGGTCCGGCACCTCTGGAGAAGGACCGAATCGACGGTCCCTCAGTCGATCGCCGTCGAGGGAGGTCTGGCACCCCCATCCTCATTCTCCAAGACTCGTCCATTTCACCGCCGATAAGGAGGCTTAGTTGCCGGGATACACTGTGCCAACAAAGTGTGCGAAGTTTATATACTGAGGAGAGATGGGAAAAAGAAAAAAAAAGTTTAAAAAAAAAAAAAAGCTTTTGAAAAAGTGATCATTTCCACCTCTTTATACAACATTCAGTTCTTATAATTAGTTAATTTAAGGAATTATATTCTATTTTTTTATTTTTATTAATAAATAAATAAATATAAAATTATATTGATTCAATAAATAACTATATTATAATGTCAATTCATTTATTCATTTCATTTATCATGCCAATTAAATTATAGTTCCAAAACTTTTATGTCGCATTTAATAGGTTTCTAAAATTTAAAAAATATTTATTATATTTATAAACATTAATCTTATATATAAAATTTAAAAAGTATTTATTATATTTATCAAATTCAATTTTAAAAAATATCTAATAAATCTATATTTTTTTAAAAAAAATTAGAAATTCAGTGGACACAGTTAAATATAAATTTTAATTTTATAAAATTGAAATTAATTACGAAAAGATTAATAGCACCATAAATTTCTAACTTTTTTTTTTAGGGAGATAAAAAATGTGTCAATTAAAAAAAAATTAAAATTATACAAAAATATATTTAACTATTGAGGAAACATATTCTATCATGTTTCCTATCTCAATCCTCATTTAATTTACAAATATCTTTATGTTTGTGGGGCAATACATTAATACAACACATAAAAATGCAACCTTTAACCTTATCCATTTCATACTCGTCTGTCCTACTCGTTAAATGACTCGTGTTTATTTTAGATTGTGTTGTAAAATTTTGAACGATATTCATATCTAAAAAATTTTGTTTTTTAAAAAAGTATTCAAGAGGCTACTTCCAATAATGTGGCTAACAATTTCTCTTTTCGGCTTCTCCTTACGGTTTTACATCCTTATAAACAATGTATATGATGCTGACACACTATTTGGTGTCTGACTTTGATATCATTTGTAACAGCCCAAGCCCATTGCTAGTAGATACTGTCATTTTTAGATTTTTCCTTTCGAATTTTCTCTTAAGGTTTTTAAATGCTTGGTTCCCCTCTTTTACTGGGATCTCATAATTTGTTACTTTTTTTTCCTGTTCATAGTACTTTTTGTTGATTTTGAAACGATTCCAGGTGCTTAGAGTCATTTTGGTCATTAAGGATGATGCCAAAATGACAATGACAATAACCCTAACGGACAATAAACGACAATGACAACAATAATAACAATTACGACAACGACACTACAATGTCAAGAAATGAAGGTGTTCATGATGTCTCACTTGACTATGCCAAATGATAACACCTTCTACCTCCCCTAATTTGCCGCTTATCGAGTTTGAACAAGAACCACGTTAAAAAAAAAATATGAAAATCATTGATTTAAATTAGATATTTTAAATAAATTTATTAAATTAAAAGCCCATATATTCTTTCCTTTCAATATTGTGAGGTTGATAAAGTTCCAAGAGAGGAAGAAATTGGGCCATAAGAATGGAAGAATGGTGTAAATGAAGAAGGAAACAAATGAAAGAAACAAAACAACCCTACAAAAAGTGGGCAGCCAAGTGCTTCCCGACATTTTATTTGGCGTCTCGAAGATTTGAATCTCTGACTTTTTGGTCAAGTTTCATATTGATACTATGATCATGTTGAGTACAGGTCCGATCAAAGACCATTTTAAAAGTTTTTAAAATTTTTATTTTATTTTATTACGTATCTGGTAGTCACACCAACATAAATATAGTGTAACGGTTAAGACGATGCTTTCTATATATATAAATAACGATAATGTGTAGAACAAATTCTGATCGAAAGTCTTTTTTTTCTATGTCGAGTATATATTCAGCATATCACATTATAGATTATTTATTTTATAATTCAAAATCATTCCACGTGGAATGGGAATGAGTTATCATTAAGATGGCTTTATTTTGAACCACAAGATTATTATATCTCTTGATTAATATATACAACAATAAATGTCACATTCAAATGCATTAATGAAGTGTCAATTATTTATTTATTAAGTTAAATAATTTTTTGTTCTAATTATTTATTTTTTTATTTTTATAACTATTCATACCTATCGACATTTTTATGAATCTGAGATCTTGACATCAACATCAACATTTTTTCGATTTTCTTATAAGAAGAAGAAAGACGATAGAATTTTATGAAAACGTGACACCATGTGCTATTGTTTATTTACTATACTTTAACCAAGATATACACAAATTATTTTCTCTAATATACTCATTTTTTTAATCGACAATATTATCATTTCATAATTCGATCTCGAGGATGCACATACTATCTCGCATGTGTGGGATAAGAATTCAAGCCTCTTACTCATTTTTATTCGAAAATATATCTTAACTAATTTAATTATACTTAATTTGGTAGATATTATAGATGAAAAATTTCCTAATTTGTCACTACAAATTCTTCAATACTTTTACTGTAACTAGTATAAATATTAGATACAATTCATCCATCCATTCAATTTATGCATGATTGCGAGGTTTGAAAACTATCAAAGAACTTGTAAATGTAATCTATCGTTACAGATGGTTTGTTTATAACAATGAAATCACTCCTTATCCTCATCCCATCAATTTTGTCTATTATATTTCTAATCCAAGGAGATAATATCAGATACTTTTATCCTTCTTAAACATGCTGACTGATCCTAATATCAGAAATGAAGAATTCTAATATCAGAAATGAAGAACCAAATTGTTCTCGTATAAAAATGTCTTTGATGCGACTCTCCCGACAATAACCATGTTTTTAACGTTTTCATATTTATAGTAAACCTAAGAACTTTGTTTCCCAACCGAGAATTGTTCATTTAAGTAATATGGATCACATCGGTAGAAATATGGATTGATAGTGATCAAAATGATTGCAGCTATTAAGGGAGGGGATTGGTTGGAATAGAGAATTGGGTGGAAGTGAGAAGATGTTAAAAGTGGGAGGCGAGACCAAGAGTGCATGATGATACCTTCATAGCAGACATTGCGTGCTTTTATACATTCATTTGCCTCGAAACTCTCCCTTTCTTTACAAACTTTACAACAAATCATATAATCATTCCTCTTTCAATCTATGCATTACTGATACCTACAAAATAAATAATATCAAGAAGATTTTAAATCACAAAAATATCTTTCAACACTATTTCATGAATCCTCTAGCATAATTGTTCATTCGTATTGTTCATAACCCACTTCAACACGTTCTTTTTTTCTTTTTTTAAAACGTCATGTTAGCTATGTCGGTATATTTTTCATATTTTTCATTCGTTACAAATGCTCCTATACTAACATAACACCTCATAAAGTTACACGTTATCCTTACTTTAACCTTTCTCGGTTGCAAGGACTGCAAAAATTAGAGACAAAATTTGAGAAATAGCAAGGCTAAGTTGTCACTGTCAAAAGAGATTCTCTATATTTAAAAATGGAGGATAGTTTTTAAACATTATTTCTAAAAGAAGCATCTAGGTATTATTACAAGTACCATATGGAGTTTAGAAAAGGCCTGACCTTTGGATTTTGTGGCTCTCATGTTCACAGCTTGAGAAAAGTTTTTGCTGTTGAAAAAGTTAACGTTGGGACATATGATATATGTATGTGTGTGGCTGCGTTGCAAACAAGAAAAGAGAAGCACATGGTTAACAAAAAGATAGAGATAATGCAATAAACAAAGTACTACTTTAGCTCAACTAGCAACTAAACAGGGTCTCGATCTCTGTGATGGGTCTAGAAAATGCAGTGGGAATAGGGAACATCTGTTAATAAAATACTTACCAATCCAAATGGTAATCATGTAGCAAAAGATAACAAATCTTTATGGGCTATTTGGATGATCCTCATTCTTCTGAAGGGAGCAAATAGAATCAACTGCTTTTGACAAAATCTCTCCTTTTATTTTTTCTCATTTTCCTTCCATAATCAGATTTTGGGGTGTAAAAATGGCCAAGTTTTCAGTCTACAGCCAAGAGCATGTGGGAGAAATACAAGGTGTTTTAAGCCAAATCAAGCGTATAACATTGAAACATATCTTGCTTTCTGTATGATAAAAACTAGAAAAGAGGAGAGAAGGGAATGCTTAAGTTTAGAGAGAGAGGGATAAAAAAAAAAACTGTAGATTCAAGCTCCTGATTAGCTAGGAATTACTAGGACTGAAGAGAATGACTTGATTAGACTTTGATTGGAAAAAAGAAGGGGAAAAACACGGAAGACTTTTATTTTTGACAGTTGGACTTGACTTGATTCATTTATCTTTTTTTTTTTTTTTTTTGACATTGGATTTGACTATAATTTTGATACCTTGAATGCCAGAACTTGCCCTTCCAGTCCAGTTGTTGCAGCACTTCAATTCCTCATAATACAAGAAAAATAGAGATACCTGGCCTACCAATTTGGCAAATATTTGTCACAAGGCTCAGGTTTTTCAAAAGGGAATAGAATATGTAGCAGAAATAACAAAACAGAGTCAATAAAGTCATTTTCAGTTGTGCCTCAACCAATAGACAATCCAAAACCTAGTAATTATAGACTATCATTCATAGACTTGCAATTTATCTTCCACAAGAGGAACGTGGACTTTTGGAACCTCTGCCAAAGAAATCACTCTAGACTTCCAATCTTATCTACTGCCATATTGATAATGCATTCAAGGAAACCATAAAAAAGAATTCTGTTGATCTCAGCTCAGTTCAAAGGCAACTGAATTCATATCAATTTTATATTCAGACATCCGAATGAAAGGAAGTGAAAGGATATTGTTCATTTCATGAGAATGAGAATCTGCCATAAGGAAAGAAAAAAAGTACAGTACAACCTAAAGATGTTTCAGGATTGTAAAGATTTGGCTGATATGATTGCAAAGGGTGTTTCAGAAACATTGTAGAGAATAAGCAATAATGACAGCCATACCATTATCTTTGATGACTCATGCTGCTCCCTATGCCTTTTGAAGTAAGAAGTCTGTCTTGTTTGCTGGAGAGTGGAATCACCAGGAGAGTAGGGCGTTATTTCTGTTACACCTGATATAAAGAAAAACGAGCCTAATTCAGTATCATATGCCTTTCAAGAGTAGACTCTAAGCATAATAAAATACATAAATAACAATCTTTTCTTTAAAAAAAAAAAAATGATGATGACGTGATGGTAGTCTAAGATCAAACTCTGATCAACTTCTATGAAGACCAATCAAAAGGTATACTAATGCAAAGCTAAATTCCACAACACAAATCAGCACAAGTTATCATTGGTACAATTTGTGATATTCTCCGCAATAGCCAATCTCATTTTTCTTTTCCTCCTTTTCATTGATGTATTGAAAAGCTAAGTGAAAAAAAACTACACTTCCACATCAGGAGCTTACAGAATGAACTCCCATGGCAATTAATTACTAATAATAATAGTGTAATATTGTGCATAATAAATCATCAAATCATATGCATTTGATTAGGGACATAACTTTCCAAGTTCTTCCCCGTCAATGTAAATTTTGACGGTTTCTCTCCAAGCAAAGAATCCAAGAAATTGATTCAATCACATAAACTCAAATGATCTTAGCTTTTCCTTGTCCCCTCAATAATTGCATCATATTATCCCTAGGCAAAAAGAATAAAACGTAAGCAAAGATTGAAGCATAGGAGGTGTATTCTAAATAACTTCTTCCTGAATAAGCACAAGAACAGTAAATGGTCTTGAGATACTTTGATTTTCCACCGAACAGATACCAACAAGGCAAGAGCCATATGCTGACAGTGCTTTTGTAGCCAACAACCGTATTAAGCCCTCCATGGCATACCCACCAGGAAAATAAAAATTCACCTTGTAGAATTAGAAACTAAAAATCCGTTGCTGAAGAAGAAACTGACGGGACTTACTGACAATTCATATGCACTTACCGTTAACTTGTGAACATGATAGATGAGAATTTTATGACTGGGATAATGTTATTTTGTTTGCATAGAGGTATAACAATGACATGGGAGACAAGCGCAGAAAGGGTAACAACCAATATTCCTACATGCTCTTCTGGACTGAGATCATTTCCAGTTTCTCACCTGCAAAAGAAACCATTAGTAGGTCTTTCTGTTTTAACCAAGATGTCCACGATGAGTAAATGAACTGAAGCTTTTTCTGTTGTAATGCAGTTTAGTGCCTTAACTAAAGGGTTTAAACCATTAAATTTGGTGATTAGAGGAAGAGACAGAAAGTATCTCCAGAGTTATATTCAATCACTTTTTTTACAACTTTGTCCTCCATCTCCACACCTTTAAATATTTGTGAAGCAACTGGCTGCCTTTCTATGAACCAAAATAGCGGCCCAGTGGACATACTGTCTGATTACATTAGAAAAGGAAAAACTCCTCACCCGTCACCAGTGATCTCATGGCCCCCAACCAACATTAGGGATCTTTCAAAAGAGCACTCTAGTACCCAACCTAGCATTTAGAGAAGAAAAAAGTCATTAAAAAGAAGTCCCACAGCAGTTAATGTTTAAGCTTAAGCCCGTACTTATAGCAGTCGACGTCACAACAACAGGTAGTTATAGCATTAATGAATTTCTTTTCCCTTTTACATTGGAATTATCACAAGCAATTGTATCAAAAGACAAACTTGATCCTATTGGACCAACCACTTTATTCAGGAGATGTGGGCAAGACGTGGGCAGTGGGTCACAAGGACCCAGAGAAGGGCCAAAAGAAAATGGAACAGCGAAGATCTTCTTTCCAGCCTGTTGCAGACGCAACAAAAGAGAAACAGCACAAGATTCAAACGGCAAAATTGTGGCAAAATTTATCGTAAAACAAAAGAAACAAATAATTTAACCCTGAGTACATTCTGACTCAAACCCTATCAAGAAATATCTGAGCAGGCTGCATTATTTATTATTCTGCCAACTTTATGCAAGTATGCCTGCTATTACACTGACTTGATATTGAAATCCTTAAAGCAGCAGGTATCTTCCTTACATTCTTTCTACCTTCATTCGTTGTTAAGTCATGCGTGTATTAGGATAAACTGGATCGGATATACTCTAAATAAATTCCAGAGGACTATTACCTAGCTCTGCAGTAATTAGGGCTTGGTAAAAACCCATAGGATATTAATGTTCTAAGGAATAGCTATAAAGATTTGAATAAACTAAAGAATATGCGTGGGCAACTAGTCTCTGGGAGCAACCACGGTGGTTATAAAAGCTGACATCCTCACAAAATTACAAGAGAAATACATGATGCATCCAACTATTCTGAATATTCACCTGGGCTAACACAATGCAAAACTTATCAGAAAAAACCCACAACAAAGCAAACGAATCTGAACCCTGGAAGCAGATTTATGCAGCTCACAATATAGAAAGATTGTGTTCATGTGAAGTCAACCATAATAGAGTATTAGAAATCTCAGTCCTGCAAATGCTTTTGATTTTGAGATGAAACACAACCACGCTCAACAAACCTTAATATAAGCCTATCGGCCTCCTCCAAATTTCCTTCTATGAGAAGTCTCTTGCTAACCTTCTCACATAACTTTAAATCAGGAAGTAGGTTTCTATTGAACATTCGACAAGCAACTTTATATGCTGACATAGGAATTCCAGCACTTAAATAACTCTCCATAAGCACATGACAAGTTTTAGCATCAGTTCTTGAAGCTGTTCTCAAAACCTCACCTAAAAGGCTGTTGGCCTCCTCAAGGTATCCAAATTTACATAGTTTTTCAATTACTAAATTATATGCTGTTTGAAATCTGCTTTTTGCAAGCATCTTCGTCAATAATTTCAACAAATCTTCCACCCGGCCTTTTCGACAATACTGGTGGATGACAGATCTGTATGTAACAGGAGAAGGAACCAACCCTTGCCTCAGCATCTTCATTGTAAATTCAGTGGCTTCTTCTATACGGCCAGTCTTGCCCAGTGCATCAATTAAAGTTGTGTATGTCACGGTATCAGGGTGCTTGTTGCAAAGGTACATATCATCTAACAATGACAGTGCTGCTTCCAAATCATCTTTCTGACAGTATCCATGAATGACAGTGGTGAAATTGACTACATTTACAGCACAACCCTTGTTCATGCACTCCTTTAGTAACTGAGTAGCTTCATGTGGTTTCCCATCCCGACAAAGAGATTGCACCAATAAGTTAATTTCAACTGGATTTGGAAAGAAACCTTTTCCAATCATCTCCCTGACTAAATCGCATGCTTCATTCAATTTCCCTTCCCGACGTAACCCATGAACTACAACACTATAAGTAATTGCATTAGGTGTCCACCACTCTTCCTCACTCATATTCATCATCTTTCTAGCTTCTAAGGATTTACCATTGCGGCAAAGACCATTTAGCAATGTTGTATATGTTACAGCATTAGGTTTACAGTGATGCTTATACATCTGTTGCATCATCTTTTTTGCTTGATCAAGTTTCCCTATGCGACAAAACCCATCAAGGACAGAGGTGTATGTTACAACATCTGGAGCACAGCCGTTGGACAACATTTCACCAACAAGCTCTTTTGCCTTATTAATCTTTCCTTCCCTGCAATATGCATGAACTATTGCACTATACTCAACCTTGTCAACCTTAAATCGCAATGCTTCTGCTTCTCTAAGAATCTCTAGAGCCTCATCACCGTGGCCATGCTTGGAAAGCATATGGATTAGAGAATTGTAAGTAACATGATCTGGTAATAAGTTACTGTCCGTCTGCATTTTCTTCATCAATTCTCTAATTTCATTCACCCTTTTGTCTCTACAGAGAAATCCCATGACAGTATAGTAACTAACTTTATCTGGGGAACATCCCTTAGATGGCATTTGATCAATCATTTCCATGGCTTGGTCAACCTGATACGTGTTACAATAGCCCTTGATCAAACAATTATAAGTCACGACATTTGGAGCAATGCCAATAAGAACCATACGTTCTGCAAACCTCAATGCCTTCTTTAACTCATTGCCCACCACCAAAATATGGATTGCAGTATTACAAATAGACAGATTAGGTTCTACACCTGCCCTCTGCATCAAGGTCAAGACCTTCATTGCATCCCTTAATCTTCCTGCCCGACTATATGACACCATTACAAAACCAAAAGCTTCAGGCCAAAGCTGAATTCCTCTACGAGTCATAAGTCGAAGAACCCGTTTAGCACCTTGACATAATTTGGTCCTACTCAGTATCTCAAGCATCACCAAGTACACAGATGAATCATGTCTATACCGCCACAATCTATCTGCCCAATAGAAGAAGCGCAAAGAAAGTCTTTCATCTTCCAGAGAGAGCAAAACAGCACATACCTGCACGGGAGTTAGGCTTCTAACTAAATGCCTCAATTCCCCTTCAAACTTCCGATTCCAAGAGGAACTTAGCTGGATCAGTTTACAAGTATCTCTCACTGAGGGAGATCGAAATACATCCTCACCGATTTCAACTCTTTTGAAATCATTTCCTTGTCCATGATTTTTATTTGACAAATTAGGCCACAAAAGATCGGCAGCATCATCAACATGACCTTCATCGTCTTCGTCATTAGACTCTTCAGCCTCTATATCATCACCGAACTGAAAGTGCCGATCCTTTTCATAATCCTCATTAGGATTCCGGAAGAAACTCGAATCTCCGGAATCCTCCAAATCAGTTTTCTGTAATTCGTCATTTGCATCATCCAACCCATTATTTCTACCATAAGTATCACTGCAGTAAGTTCTTACACTACAACCGAAACTCGAATCTCTCCAAGAGGAAGACGAGAAAAACGCGCCAACTTCACTACATGCGATAGGCTGTGAAGTAAAACGATCGAAGCATTTATAGACAACTTCATTCACAACAAAAGCAAAATTGGCACCCCCTTTCCGAAACTTATTTAGATAATTCAGTTCATGGACTCTGATTTGCCTTCTTCCTATTCTATAGTAGTAATTGAAAATGAATAACATATCATTACAATGCAGGAAAATCAGTGAAGAAATTGATGAACTAGCGACTACCGAATTCGTCCTCTAGACGCTCTTTTCTGCCGCTTCGAAGATGGAAAATAGCCAGTCCTTAAGCCGCTCCGTCGACGTTCTTCAGCTTCGCGGCGAAACAGGGTTTCCCCGCCGCAATAGCAAGCAAGTATTCCCGTCTAAATGGTTAGCACTAAGCAAGTTTGGGAAATTCCAAACAATGGACTTTTAAAAAAATAAAAAATATATATATCCATTTCTGAAATTTGTCATTTTTTTTTAAATAAAAGGTTTTATTTATTCTCTCCCCATCCTTCTCATAAAACGTAAAATATTTTATCCATAAGAAAAGAATTCGGAGCACGAATTTGTTGGTCGGTGGTGTCTATTAATTCAGTTAACATCAATATAGAGTACGACAAGACAAACTCCCACGCACTCGAGACAAGATTAGTAAGCATACATACCTAGCTTAGCCAATGAAGACGATGATCCCGAAATAAATGGAGATGGTGTTCAATGTAGATAGAGATGATGAAAAAGACGTATACGTACGTAATGTTGAGGTTACATTTCTTATGCACCTGTTCCGAGTATTGATGTATAAAAGAAGATCTGTCAATGAAATTAAAAAATAATTTAGAGATAAATAGTAAAAAAAAAAATATATATATATATATATATATATATATAAATAAAGAGATGGTCGACTTGGTCTTATTATATTATTTTCAACCTTAATTGGGCTTTCCTTCATCAATAACTATGCGAATAAGCATATTAACTATATTATTAAAAAGTGTTAAAATTAAATTAAAAGTAAAGGCGAAAATGGTAAAAATTTATAGGCTAAAATTTGGCTAAAACGGAATAATTACGAAAATTAAAAAAAAAAAAAAAAAAGAACCAGCAAATAGAATAAACATGAAAATTGATTCTAAAAAATAAATAAATAAAAAATAATCTGAGTTATGTTTGAGATCGTTGAAATTGGCGGGACTCAAAAAAGCATCCATATTAGTGGCGCAGATTCTCACGGGAAACTGTGGATATTCGGAAATGGTACTGGATCGGCGCTTATGTTCTTGGGCACAGTCTCATGGTTCCCCTGCTGTGTCTGATCCGAGGCACCGATGAGATTCCCTCTGAGCTCGACCCAAACTACAGGTGATTTCATCAGATTGTCATTACTAACTCTACTTTGAGGCTGTTTTGAGGAATAGGTGTTTCCGCGTCTAGATTTGTGGTCATCTCTCTGGAGTATGGATTCTGGACTTTGTTGCATCTAGATTACGCTGCATCGTTTGTCTTTTTTTTTTTTTTTTTTTTTTTTCAGAACAATGGTCTGATGCAGTAGATTTAGCTTCATGATAGCACAAATGAAGAAAGTGCAGGTTCTATTTCACTTGAAACTGTGGTTTTCTGATTCATTAGCTGAAGTTTCTTTACTACTGCGGAATTTAAGTTGTAACTGGACCGAGGTGTATGCTCACCGGCGCAGTTGCTTGCAATTTATTGTCCTCGTTTCGTCCGTTATACATGAGTGGCTACGGCGTAGATGCTAAACCAAGTTTAATACAACACATCACTGCTCGTTGATTAGCCAAAGCAATGGTGAGTCCAAGTACATATTTATCGATGTAGGGAAGACGTCTAGGGAGCAAGTTCTAAGATGGTTTACACGCCATTAGGTTACTCGAGTGGTTTCCGTGAGTCATTATCACTTGCTTTTTATGTTTTTACGTAATTGATATATAATTTGTTGAAAATTTTCTAAACAGAACGCATATATAATTATGATCAGGACGCTTTTTTTTCTTTCTGCCGTCCTTGATGGCTTTCAGAAGCAATTTTTGTTTGTCTTGATTTCGCATCTGCACTTTTAACGTGTTTGAACCTTACATTGATGATATACGTGCTGTGAAATCTTTTAGTGAATTGGTTCCTTGGGCAAGTGGATGTAGGTTCTCGTGTTCTGGAGCCAGCACACTCTAAAATCTGTCTTGCTTCTCCTGATCTTCTTAAGTACTCTTTTCCTGTCTTAATCTGCGACGGTCATTGGAAGAATCTTAGATTAATCTTCAACATTGCTAAAAGAAGCGTTCATTGAAGAAACATTTTATTGGCTGATGGAAATGAAATTCTCCTTGTACCTGTTTTCTGCCTTATTATAATTTTGGAGATAGTTTTGCTTAGCTTCTGCATTTCACCTTCTCCTTGCAGACTGAATCCTGCAGTGTCCATTTTTCTGCCTTTTGCAGGTTTTGTAGGCATCTTTATGAGTTTAGTTTTTAGTATCTCGTAATTACATTAATGACGTTCTATGTCTTTTGACAGGCTCTTGAAGCAGTGAAAAGGATATGTCCGAAGCAAGTCATGCTAATTGGAATGGGTCATGTATTTGATCGTCACGTGGATAATGGGTTCCTTAACCAATGGTCTATAAGGTATAACATTTACCATCTGATCCTAAAGAAGGAACCCATCTAAGTTATAGCATCCATTATGATTAATTGTCTTGCACCTGGCTTTCAAGTCCTCCCTAATAGTATGGTATTGTTCACTTTGAGCATAAACTCACGTGACTTTTAGTTTTGACTTCCTCAAAAGGTCTTGTACCAATAGAGACTTATTCCTTACTTGTAAACTCATGATCATCTCCTTAATTAGCCCAGATGGGACTCCCCATTAACAATCTTCCCTTCGAACAAAGTATACCAGAGAGCCACCCCTGAGGCCTATGGAGCACTCGAACAAAGTATACCCTTTGTTTGACACTCGACTACACCTTCGAGGCTCACAACTTTTTTGTTCGACATTTGAGGATTTTATTGATATGGTTAAATTAAGGACATGGCTCTTATACCACGTTTGTAACCAAGAACCTCCACAATGGTACGATATTGTCCACTTTGAGCATAAGCTCTCATGACTTTGCTTTTGGCTTCCCCAAAAGGTCTCGGACCATTGAAGATGTATTTCTTAATTAGCGGTGGTGGGACTCCCCACCTGCAATCCTCAAGCGTTCTGATTCTACTATCTTTAAAGGTCTAAATGAAGTTGGAGGGAGATGGGTTTTTCCATTTTTTCCTGTTAGCTCTACCTAGATAAGATGTCCAGTGCCGATTTTCGTCCTATCATCATACTTACTCTCAGGGAAGGAATTCCAGTGCAGCTTGCTCATAATTGTCTTAGAATCTCATAGACCTATGATAAGGAAATGTTTTTTTTTTCATTCAGGTCCTTCAAAGGGGACTCGCGATTACCATTAACTTCATCGGAATCTATCCTTAACGGTAATAGATATACAACCTCGGTGTTGGTCTTTTATTAGATCAAATGAGCGAAGAAAGTAAACCAAGCATTCAACGCTCCACGGCTGGACGTGTTGTTAGAGAATGATACATCTTAATGAAGCATAATGATAGGAATATTATTAAGGGATACAATCGTAATTAAGTAGGACGGATGCTATGGTATTTAGTTATGAATAGGAGTGGAAAGTAGGAAGATAGACAAGATTAAGTTAGTCTAGGCTTGGGCATTCTTTATCGCCCAAGTTCCTGAAATTACTTGGTTTATCTATTAGCTATTTTAGATATTATTGCAATATATTTCTCTAGTTCTATCCCTTTATTGTACCTGAGCGCTATCCAGTAACGACAATTTTTTTTTCATTGTCTAACAGCATTGAGTTTATGTCCTACTGATGTTGGAAGGAAAAATTAGAATAGAGTTGATATGGAATTTGAATCCCTTATCTGAGCTGGAGGTGGGCTGGAATTGTAGACAGAAGAATAATGGAGATAATATGGTCAGTCTTTATTTAGTAGGTACAACGAGTGCAAGGGAAAAGTACTCACATCATCAAACAACACTGAAAAGTTCAGACCAAACATACCAATCAGAAAGGGAGAGAAGAAACTGTTAGAGGAACACGACTCTCCACAATAGTATGATATTGTCCACTTTGAGCACAAGCTCTCATGGCTTTGCTTTGGACTTCTCTAAAATGCCTCACTTATAAATCCATGATCATTCCCTAAATTAACCCATGATTATTCCCTAAATTAGCCGATGTGAGACTTTCATACCTTCATCATCGAACAGAAACTATGTTCACGCTAAACTGCGAAAACTTTGAAGGAAGTGGAAGAAAATTATTAAACACATGAATCATGGGACCCATTTGGAAAGACGAAACATATTTATGCAATTCCTTTCAACATACCCCACGATCTCCTTCCTCAATTTCTCTGTTCATTCTGGAATCTCCCACAGCAAAGCTGGAAAAGTTAAAATTTGATAGAGAGACAATATGGAACTTATGATACGCAAAGTAGGATACTGTATGTGAATAAAGCTTGGAANAGTTTCTTTCTTTTTTTTTTTTTTTTTTTTTTTTTTTTTCCTTTTTTCCAAATAACAATGCGTGTAGAAAAGTTCTATATTTTTTTTTGGGAGACATCATGTAAACATACATTTAGTAGAGATTTACTGAATTTATGTTGCAAAAAGTTCTCAAGGAACCAATCATGAAGAATTATAGCCTAAATCTTCAGTTTCTTTTTTCCTTTTCCCTTCGGAAATTTCTTATTTGCTTTTGTCGTTGAATATTGTATAAATTTGACATTCTTATCTATTTTGTAAGGAACGTAATCAATAACACATGAAGAGACAAGGACAAAATACAAGAAGAATGTGCCAGAAGCATTGTACTATGATAAAGAAGTTTGAGAGAAAAGGTAAGTTTTTTTACATACCATGCTACGATCTGAACTTTACACATTTGCTCCTAAAAGTACTTGGCAATTTCAACTTCCTCAGTGCTTGATAACTTTTCCATCCTAAGCTTAGGTGAAATTTTTATTACCTTCATTAATGGGTTAATTCCAATATAAGTAGTTTAATTGTGTTTGATAAAAGAAGAGAGAAAGAACTTTGAATTTGTTTAAATAAATGAAGATTTTTTTTTGGAAAATGTGACCTGCCCGTTGTCATGAAAAGGGGATCCGTAGAAAAAACTTAGATCCAAAGATCACAAGAAAATAAATGTAGGTTGATTAGTCTTAATCCAACATCTCCCCATTTGAAGAGAATTTTGATCCCTGTACATTTACTGATCATCCAAGATCTTTTCAAAGATCATAATAATATCCTNTCCTGACCCCCCCCCCCCCCTTCGCCCTTCCCCAAGAGTGCTGATGAACATAAATCTTAGCCAATGATCTGATAGATTTAGTAGTGATTTTTGTCCTCATTACCTCTTTGAATAGATGGTTATTTGTTCCTCCCACCTCTCTCCATTGTATAGCCACCCTTTTCTACAGGAAATCCCAAACAAGGCACATTCTTTGACACAGGCATGGTACAAGTGGGGATAAAGAGAATTTCAATTCTAAAAGAGAAGTCAAGTAAATTAGGTTTTGTCGGTTTTAAACAAGTAAATCTAAGAGTTCAATTAGAACTGAACTTGAACTTAAACCAGTTAAGACACATATTCCTGTCTAAGAACTAGAAAAAAAAATTTAGAAATTAATGAATGAGATTGGAATGAAATGCTTGAGAATGTGAAAAGAAGGTTTGAACAATGGATGCATATGTTAAATCAAGTGAACAGTTCCAACCCAGGTCAATCAAGGAATTAATAAAACAAGAAAGTGGTTCATAAAGGAATGTGATTATGCAAGTGCTTTACTTGCCAAGGGAATGTGAAAAGAAGGTTTGAACTATGGATGTATATGTTAAATCAAGTGAACATTTCCAACCTGGGTCCTTAAAGGAATTAATAAAACAAAAAGTAGAAAAAAGAAAGGAGCCCAAATGTCTAAAAACGTGGAGAGTATGGTCAAAGAAAGCAGGTAAGGAGTCAAATCATGTCTGTATTGTTCAAAGAGATGCAAATGGTCAAATAAAATCAACAAGGACGTGTAATTCATGCCCTAACACACACCAAAAGACATGTCGACCCAACACAACACGTGATCAACACCCAACCCTCCCCTTCACTTTGATTCTCCATAAAGAATGTTTTTGGACTTCACAATTTCACCCCCCTCAAATGCTATTGGAAAATATGATTTATTATTTATTATTTTGTTTGAAAATATTATTAATGCAACCCCAACCTCTTCCTTGGGGTTTGAGTTTACAGGATAGTCATTAGGCTTCTCGAGATGCTTTTGATTGTTTGATAGAAATATGTTATAGGTTAGTTCTTCTAAATATTTTCAATTATATTCTTCTAGTTGATAATAACAAATTTGATTTATTATACTATATGATAATACTTAGGTTGTATAATTATAAGGTATGAACTAATTTCAACATTCACCAATAAAAGTGATATAATTGAAAAATGTTAAAATATCAAATTGAAAAAACACCCAAACATTAGAATAAATATAATTAAGTATTGTTTTATGATATCGGGGTAGCATCCATTTGTCTTTAATATGTAGAAGTGGGTATGTATGAATGGATCTGGATCCAGCTCAACAACCACATTGGTTCATACCACCAAGTGCGATTCTTTAGTTTTTTTTTTTTTCTTTTTTCTTTTTTCTTTTTTTAATGCCAAAGAAATACAGTTGCATCTTAAATCCTAACCCTACATATTAAAGTGAAAATGGACGCTAACCCGAGTTTTTGGGGCCCAAAATCATTTTTGGTTATTTTATTTAGTTTATTTTGTTACTTTGCTTTTGATTTTTGTGTGTGTGCCTGTGAGAGTTAAAGCAATGGATGGATAATATCAAATTGTTTTGAACTTTTTCTGTGAATTTATTAATAATGCCTGACATAAAGTAGGCTTAATTTAAGGGCTTTCGATTCCACGTGCACCTTTATAAACAAAGGGTTTTCGTTTGTTTGTTTTCTTTTCTTTAACTTAGTAATAGGTTAAAATGGAGATAATGGAAAATTGAATGTTGCATTTAAATTTGAAGCATATTAAACTTTTAATTTTGTTTTGAACTTGGTGGATTGAAGTTTGGTTATTGGGCACATAAGTTTTGTGTTATTAATTATACAGAATGCAGGTATAGTTACTAGAATTTTGAGAATAAGAGCATATTTAGGAGGGAGCGTGGAATATATTCTTTATTCCAAATTCTATCCCAAAATGTTTGAAAAACAAAGACTCCATCCTCGATATACTTATCAAGATTGATTACCTCCTCCCTATAATCAATCATCATCCTGCACTTTCTTAAGAATTGAAGTCACTTTGTGGGATATATGGATCATTTTGGGTTAGAATCTTAGAAAGGATTTAATTTTTAGAACTCCTAGAAAGGAATTTCGATTCTTCCAATATTTAGAAAACTAATTTGGGTTGGTGTCCCTAAATGTAATATCCTAAAATGTTAGCCTAAAGCCCTATTTGAGAAGCAACCAATAATTAATGCAACATTTCCAATAAAAATAACATTATTTTTCAAAAACCCTAATTTGAAAATGACTAATTTGAGTATAATTTGCTCGTGACTCGTATCTTTCAACTTGCCTCCTTTATTTTATTTTATTGTTATATATATATATATATATATTTTTTTTTTTTGTAACAATGATATATTAAAAGGGTATGTATAAGAAGTGAGAATAATTCACTTGTTTTTTTGTTTGTTAATGTTTCATTAAAAAAAAAAAAAGGAATGGATTCTGTTGTCTTCTTTCATGTATGAAAATTTTATTTAATGTTTTAGACATTAAACATCTCCGTCAGCCAAAATTTTTGACTTAGATTCTTATGGAGATGTTGAACCAACTAATTAATTCTAAAAAAACAAAAAAGTTTTTTTTTTTTTTTTTTTTT